GTTCATTGATTGAGGGGAGGGAGTGGTCAGTAGGAGGTGAGGAGCTGATAGATAAAGCAAGGTTCTCAAAGAGCCTGAAAGGAATGAGGTCAAGTACACAAGGGGTGATGGACCTGGAACAGGATGAGAGACCCCTCATCCTCAGAGACTAGGGGGAAACAGGAAAGAGTTGATTTCTTTTTAGAAGGGAGGGAGTAAGGCAGGTCAGGGTGGTGTGAACCTGGTGGCCTTGATTTTGTTGATAAAGTAGAAGATAAGACCATCTTGTGAGAGGGAAGGGGTTGTGAATGAGTTTTGGACCTTGAGGAAGGTGGTGAAAGTTTGACGTGGTCAATGAATGCAGTGGGAGAGGAGTCAATCAAGGCTGAGCAAAGGGATTGTCATGTTGTTTTAAAGGCTTACATGAGGTTGGAGGCCATGAATTTGGGTGCCAAGACCCCAAGTTTTGTGATTGCTTCTAGCCAACTTCATCCGCAGTGCTGTAGGAGCAGGGAGCAGGTCCTGAAATGTGTTCAGCCCAGCAGTTTTGCTAGGCAAGGAGGGTAGAAGGCAGGGGTGCAATGGGAGGTGAGCTGATAAAAGAACGGCTTCGGGAGTCAATGCTGGGGGTCAGCCTGGGCTGAGAAGGAGGTGAGGCCAGGAAGGGGCTGATACCCTGTGAGATAATGGAGAGGTCAAGGTACCAAAGGATTCTATGAGGTTAAAGATCAGGTTTAGGAAGATTGAAGGCAGAAGAGAGCTGGAAAATTGTGAGGCTGTGGTCAGAGAGTAGGACATTAGAGGATTCTGGGGTGAAGCTGGTCTGGCTAGAGGTAAGGTGTGAAGGTGACTGAAGCAGAGGGAGCTGAGGGTTGGGGAAGTTGAGGCAATGGAGGAATAATGAGGCTGAAGGTTGATGGGTTGTCCACAAGCACGTGGCAGTCACTCCGAATGGGGAGAAAGACTGGGGGTTAGGCGCCCCTAGGAGAGGATGAAATAGGTCTCAAATGGAGAAAGGGTTTTGCCTTGAGGTAGAGGAGTAATGATGTTTTCAAGGTTCATCCTGTGGCAGCCTGTATCCGAATTTTCTTCCTTTTAATGGCTGAGTGGTGTTCCATTGTGTGGATATTCCACACTTGGTTTATTAGTTGATGGACCTTTGAGTTGTTTCCACCTTTGGGCAATTATGAATAGTTTATTGTTTTGCCTTCATTCACTAATTCAGTGGCTCAAACCTGTCAAGCTTGTTTCTGCCTCAACACCATGACATTTGTTACTCTCGCTGCCTGGGATACTTTCCTCCCAGATTCTCCATGACACTGTCATTCTCATCCTTGCAGCTCCAATGTCACATCCTCAGAGAAGCCTTCCCTGATCACTGTGTTTAAAGTAGTTGAACTCTCAGCCACTTTTTATCCCGTTACCCTATTTTATTGTCTTCACACACATTGCTATCTGAAATGAATAAGAAATAGTGCCTAGACCCGGGGCTGTTTTGTAGCTTTGGCCCTTTATGCAATCCAATGAGGCCTATGGGCTCAGAATAACATTTTTAAGTGCCTGAAAATACCAGTGATACCAAAAAATACGGTTACCAAAATATTTTAAAAATTGTGATTTAGTTAATCTATGTGCTTTTCTATTAATCCCTGAATTAAGAATATCTATATGCAGGTCTAATAGCTATTATAATTTAGAAGTTGTGATGATTATAAATGCTATTTTGAGATATTTGCAACAACTGTAATAGGAAACAAAAATATTGGTGATTTCTATTGGTTATGAAATCATAGGCACTGCTGAAATTATTGTAAGCTGTTACCTACTTTTGTACCTGAAGAGACTGCTAAAACCTCAGTTAGAGCTTAGTGAAAAAGATGGGGGTGTATGTGTGTGTTTTTCTATCTAAGTTCATGGATCCTATAAATTCCATCCATAGATAGACCCCCTTGGAGGTCTGTGGATCCCCCGTTATGAACTCCTACCCTGAAAAGTAAAAGATAAACAGCCGTGATGAGGAGGCATAGATAGAGTATGGTTGGAGCTGGGTTTTGTAAGAGATGGAATAGACCATAGTAAGCTGCAGGAAATGAGCTGGAAAAAAGCTGCTTTTGGGTGTGAGAGATAGAGAAGTTTTCAATTGAGAAGGATATGAGAGAAACAACATCTTTGAAGGGAAGTCAGGTGTCACTTAAAGGAAGGGAACATTTTGTGAGGAGGTTGCCTATGGGAGTAAGGGGTTTTGTTTACCCTTGACTGGGGTCCAGTGAGCACAACAGAGTAGGATGGGGGAGGTGGCCACCATGGGAGGATGAGCCATTGGGAATGGGGTGTGACTCTCACTATATTCCAGATACCATGTCGGACACTGAGGATATAAAGATGGATAATGTGGGCACACACACAATATGGTGACAGTGACATGCGGGTTGGTAAAGAATTACCAGGGACTGAGAAGAGTTTAGGAAAGTTTAATAGGCATGCTGCTTTAGGTAACGGGGCCACACAGGCGAGAGGTGCCTGAGGGTAGCCGTGCAGGGTCTTTTACTGGGGGAAGGGGGCTGTGCACACAAGGAGTAGGGGCTGCATGATCAATTCGTGCACAGGTCCCTGATCTGTCAGGGATTTCTCTGAACAATAGGTTTTAGGACTTTGATAAGGGCAGGATGTGAGGCCTGTCCACCTAGGGTATTGTGAGATGCTATCTCCTGGGGCGATGAGTTTTGTTAGGGTAAACACATATCCAGGGAAGATGTTTTATATCTTGCAGAAATGCAGGTATGCGAACGGTCCTGCAGGGAGGAGTGGGGGTTAAAGTGTCACTAGGCTCCAGGCACACAGAGAACCCAGGGGTGGGGGTTTTATGACTCCAAAGAGTGCCAGCCAGCTCCACAAATAAGACTCCAGTTATAGGATAAATAAGTATGAGGGTTGTAATGTACAACATGACAAATATAACAAACACTGCTGTATGTTGTATAGAAAAATTGTAAAGAGAGTAAATCTGAAGAGTTCTCATCACAAGGAAAAAAAATTTCTATTTCCTTTGTTTTATAACCTATATGAGATGACAGATGTCTACCAACCTTAATGTGATAATCACTTCATGATGTATGTAAATCAAATCGCTATGCTGTATACCTTAAACTTATACAGTGCTGTATGTCAATTATGTTTCAATAAACTGGAAGGAAAAAAGAAAATGCAGGAAAAAGGGGAAAAAATGAAAAGGACAAAGATGAATCATCCACTTAGGATTTAGTCTAAACCAAATACTGTTTGTTGGTTGGCTGGTTTGGCTGGTCTGATCAATGCACCTCTTCAGAGACCCCAAGAGCCAGAGACATTAGCAGGAAGATAGGCCCAGGGTATCACTACAGTTTCAGCGGAAAAAAAGCTAAAAGTGCATTGTTTTCTTTCCTCCTTTCATCCCTTTTGTAGAGCAAAAAACTGAAGTTAAAAAAAAAGGATTAGTGTAATGGAGGGGCAAAAAAATGTAGCAGTGCCGTGATTAGATCATTCAAACGAGCCAATCATCCAAAATTAATTAGATAACCTAAGGGATGCATCCCTCCGCCCCTACTCCTAATTTTTCAAGAACCTTCTAATGATCTCTGCAACCAAGAGATTCTTTGATGCTTCGACCCTTCAGAACAATGTTTGGCTCAGAAGGATCAAAGGAAGTAAGAAAGGACTATATTTTTAGATTTTTCCCTGGGGCTCTAGAGGTACCCGGCTCTCTCCTCTGCATGTAGCTCTCAGAATCTAGAATTGTGTGATTCTTTTTTAAAAAGTTATTTTCCCTCCTCTACTCGGGGGATCTTTCAAAAAGACGCAGGTTGGAGGCTCCTGCAAGTGAGAGGCATTGGCTGAGCCCAGCCCCTCCTTCGATCATGTTCCCTTCCCGTCTGGCAGTGGTATCTGCAAACCCACGGCCCTGGGCCGGATAACAAACCTCTTCTAGCTTGAAGGGAGGAAGCCCCAGATGGAGAGGCAGTGGACAGACAGGGAGATGAGAACAGAGACAGGGCTGAAGCTAAGCTGACCTAGTTAGAGCAGAAAGGGGCTGCAGGGGGGCAGGAATGGCCCGGGAGAGAAGCGAGAAGCTTCCCAGAACAGGGAGGAGTGAGCCGAGGACTGACTCTTGGCTGAGACTCCCTGGCAAGACTTGGAGACACAAAGGGGAGCTGTGTGTGGAGACTCAGTGAGCCAGGTGTATGTGTCCGTCTGTTGAGGGTGTGTGGGCAGGACTAGCTTTACCAACTTTTATATGAATACTTAGATTTTAAAGTCACAACCTTAAAGGAAACGAGAACTGGAAAAATATCTGGACCTTAGGGGAGTCAAGTGGGGAGCGCCCTAAACCCAGCAAGACTGAGCAGAACTCAGCACGTTCTGATCAGATTCCCCAGTAGCGGGTCAAGGAGAGGTCCTGACCACCACCGGGTATCCCGCTCGTGTATTTAGGCACTGTGGGGGAGATGCAGGAAGCAAAGACAGGGGCCCAGCCTGGAGGGCAATCAGCCCATCCACAGGTACTGCCAATGGGTTCCATACTGCATGGGGGCCCGGGGGACAGAAAAGTGCCCTTCACCATCCCTGCCCTTCACAAGGACACAGTCCATCTGAGGGAACACTAATCCTTGGGAAGCAACGGTAAGCAATCCAATAGCATAATTATTTTTATGCTCCTGGGTTACAGAAGGGATTTCTAGCATAAATGGGGAAACATGGAGAGGTGGGCATTCATCCAAGCTTTGAGGTCGGTGAGGGCAGGCTTGGGATGAGGAGAGAGAAGCGGACATTCCAGAGAGAAAACACGCCAATGGGCACACGTTTGGCTCATGTGGGGACCGAAGAGGTGGCCGGCCTGACGGGATCGGAGCCCCCTGAGCAGAGATGGAGAAATCCAGCTGGTTGGGGAATTAGATTACCAGAGGGCATTTTAAATTTCTAAAAGAAACGGTATCAGAATCCAAGTTTTTGAAGTGGTCTGGCCATTTCCCTACTCTCCCTTTTAGCTACAAGCCCATTGTGGAATTCATCGATGCCCAATTCGAGGCCTACCTACAGGAGGAGCTGAAGATCCGCAGGGTACTGCACACCTACCATGACTCCCGCATCCACGCCTGCTTGTACTTCATCGCCCCCACGGGTCATTCCTTGAAGTCTCTGGACCTAGTGACCATGAAGAAGCTGGACAGTAAGGTACGGAGGCAAGGCAGGAGGCGGGGCCAGTTGGGCTCCCTCTTCCTGGTCTCTTGTGCAACAGAGCTGCCAGATTCTAGGAGAGGTTCTGCGGTTTCCTCCTCCTAACCTTCATTCCCTGTCTCTCCATAAAGATGATCTTATGGTTCCAGCACCTACATTAGATGCTTTGTAATGCCTTCCCAGCCCTGGAGATGGTCTGCCCTGAGCTGTCTTTCTGCCCTGATCCCTCTTGGGAATAAAGGTGGATGCAGGCAAGACAGCTGTCCCCGTCTAAGGGTCAGGCTTTGGCAATGGAAACGTGTTTTCCCTTTGTCCTAGTGTTAATTGGCCTGTGCTAGAATCAGACATGCAAGCTTGATTTTGAAAGTTATTATTCTTATTTTCAATATTCATATTTATCATAGCAGCTAACATTTGTTAAACCCTCATCATATGTCATCACTGTCCAAGTACCTCATGGAGTATCTCACTGAATCCTTACAACAACCCTGTAGGGTAAACACTGTCATTATCTCCTATTTCATAGAAGCGAAAACTGAGGCTCTCAGAGGTTAAGTGACATGCTCATTGTCATATAGCCAGGTTCTGGCAGCACCCAGATTGGAACTCAGATCTGCGGCACCAGACCTTGGGCCTCCATACTCAGGAGAGACGGCGGTGGGAAGTAGGCATGTCCTGCTTTAAGAGAAGCTGAAAAATGCAAGTCCCACATCAGAAGTAAATTAGACAGTGATTCTTCATGTTAAAGGATTATTGGTTGTGCAGAAAAATTGACCACAGGATTCTCTTTTTAAAAAAGCCTAATTACTGGTATATTTCCCTCCGAACATTGCTTATGTGCCTGGCACTGTGATGAGTATTTTACATGCATTATTTTTATTTCATCCTTCCAATAATCCAGTGTGCAGGGTACTCTTATTATTCCCATTTTTCACATGGGAAAACTGAGGCACAGTCGGGTAGCTTGCTCAAGGTCAGACAAATTGTCGTGATTCTGGGACTCAGACTGAGCTCTCTGACTCCAGGGTACTGTATTTTATAAAAAATTCTACTTCATTTGCAGTTGTTGAGTAGCACATCCACTCTAAAAACTGAGTTACAGCTATCATCAAAGTAGGAGCCGTCTTTCATTTTTCACAGCAATGGGTTCACTGTCCATGAGTCACAGGCCGCTCGGGAAATGTCGCCATGCCACACACATCTTGAATAGGGCAGCAGAGAGCCACGCGGCTGGTGGCCTGGCTGGTAGGTGGGTGGGCTGAGTCAGGTAGGCAGGCTTCGGCATACGAGGAGGGACGAGGTGAGAAGCCACAAGAGCTGGCTCTGCCTGCTGTTTCACCTTGGCAAGGGCTTTGACCCCCCACCCCCTAAAGACTTCAAGGGAGGTGCCTCCAAGGTCCAGTCTTTCTTTGACCAGCACAAGAAGCTGTGGTGTCAGCCTTCTGAGGCACTCCAAAGATAGTGCAAAGGAGGCAGGATTTGTGTTAAGCCTAGAGCTCCTTTTGGGGCCTGGGTACCACCCATGCCAGCCCCTTGGAGTCTGCTGGCAGGACTGACTGTGCTGCCCGTGTGAACCTGAGCTTAGCTGTGCTGTCTCACTAGGGCATGTGCATTTCAAATTTCTTTACCTTCCGGCAGCAAAAGCCTTGTCCCTTCTTCAAGGAATTTCAAGGATCAACGTTCAGGTGTACTGAACTTTGGGGTGACATTAGGCCTTTCTCCTGCTGTCCAAAATTGGGCATTTATACCTGCTTTCTTTATGCAGAAATTAATCACAAGATTCTGGCATTATAACTCTTTTTGACTAAGTCTCAGATCAAATTGGTAACAGAGGGTCGTCTTCACCTCAGCAGGTGGGTTCATCGGTGTTTGCTGCCAGAAAGAGGACCGGGTATGGCTCTTCACAGAGCCCTGCCCTGCCATCGCCCATGTGGTGTCTTTCACACTGGCTAGGGCTAGCTTGCGCCAGATGGGTTGGGACAGTTTACTGTTAGCAAGGAGTGGCTACCTCTTCCTTTGTCATCGCAGATTCCCATCATCTTTCTGCTTCGAACCACCCAAGCAGTGACCTTGATATTTAGATATCACGCAGCCCATCCATTTGGATCTGAACTGGTAGGTAGCTCATGGTTAAGACTCTGGACTTAGGAAGAAGACTAAACTTGGATCTGGATCCCTGTTCTGCTACTTACCTGTTCTGTAGCCTTGGACAAGCTACTTAGCTTCTCTGTGCCTCAATTTCTCATTGGTAAAGTAGTGGTACTAATACCTCCTGGGAGGCTTATTTGTCAGGGTTAATTGTGTTAATCCATGTAAAGCACTGGGTTCAGTGCCCAGCAAATTGTCATTTATTATATTGCTATTTGGCTACAGAGGTGGCCAGTCCTGGATCACTGGGTTGAGCTGCTCCCGCTGGCAGCTGGTAGAAGTCCTAGTTCATGCTGCCATCGGCCGCAGATGACCAACAATGATGCCACTTTGCTCCTCCCTTCCCTAGGTGAACATCATCCCCATCATTGCCAAATCAGATGCCATTTCTAAGAGTGAGCTAACGAAGTTCAAAATCAAAATCACTAGCGAACTGGTCAGCAACGGAGTCCAGATCTACCAGTTTCCTACAGATGATGAGTCGGTGGCAGAGATCAACGGAACCATGAACGTGAGTGGGAGCACAGGGGTTCAACTTTCTGTCCATTTGCTCTTTATGATGAGGATGATGATAATGATGTTACCAAACCACAGTCAAACATCGCCATCCATCTTACGGTAGTCAACTCTTGATTATCTGAGTCTCAGGTATTCATGAGAAAAAAATCCAGAAGCAAATAACTCCTCTCTCCCAGCAGTGGGTAGTTCAAAGCCTCAGAGATGCAGAGATTAATAGCCAGAGACTGAGAAAGGGAAATGCTGACTCCAAGGAGCGGCTAGAGCAGGGGATTCAGACCTCTCCTTCTATCCTCCTCTTTGCTGCCCCTCTGGTCTTGGCCAGGCCATCCCCAGGGGACTGCTGGGAAGGCAAACAGTCTTTGTCTCTGACCAAAACAGTGCTGCAATGATTGATGTGGCGAAAGAAGGAAAGGCTGAAAAAGTTGGCTGGTTTCAGAGACTCGAGAATCTGTACTGAGATCATCAATCATTTTTTCTCTGCCCCTGGGAGGAAAAATGACATGTAGCCTCCCGTTTTTCTGGTGACTAGAGAAATGTTATTTTTAAGTTTCAGGCTTATGCTTTGCTTTATTAAATGTGTGTGTGAATGAATCGGGGAGAAAAAAAAACCCTAACCACTTGCCATCTTTCCTCGCCTCCCCCACTTCCCCTCCTAGAGGAGTGAGTAATGAAGAAGGCAGAGAGTCAAACATCTCCTCATGCGTCTTTACAATGTGTTGATGCTGTTGCTGTGAAATCTTCAATGTTGTGATTTCAAGGAGACAGCTAATAGCTTACAGAAAGCCTCTGCTTTGGGAACAGATTTCTTCTTCTCTATCGAGAGGCATCAGTTTTTCCTAATGACATAATGCCTGGGTATAGCCAAACTCAGGAAAGCCTTGTAATAAAAGCCATTTTTAGAAAACTTTCCTGCTGCCACCGCCCTCTAAGTTATCATTATAGCATCAGCTGTCACTTCCTATGAATTGGCCAACAAATTAGCATAGCGGGGCAGCAAGTCATTGTCTCGCCTGACTTCCTGCTCATCAGTACACCCGAGATATGTTTGTGTTGAGAAGTCCCTCATCATCTTTGACATATCTGGCCCGGGATAGAGCTGTGTGGACTGTGGTAGGTGGAGTTGTAGCCTCTCTGACTGGTTGTGAGCATTAAAAAACTGAAAAAAAAATTAGTGCTTATCCTCTCCAGCAATCAGGGTGTTTTGATGGAAACTAGCTTCTGTCATGATGAGAAAACCCGAACGGGTGCCTAGTTTGCAGAAAAATTGGAGCCTAGAGAGAAGTGTCATCAGGTGTCGCTGGCACTGATGTCTGGGAGCACCTAGTCACCTCAGAACATCGGGCCCCATAGATAACTTCCAAACTCGGATTCCCCAAGTCCTTAGGCAGCTTTCGGGCTTGTGGTTTGCTTTACTAAGAGTAGACAGGGGCAAAGAGTCCTTAGCAACCTCAGGACGTCACACAAAACAACCTCTGACTGCATCGTGGATCAGGAGTGACAAATATTTGCAGCTCTGCTCTTGGCTGGGCTCTGGCCCCTTACTGGAAGCTTGGGCAGGCTCAGCCTCAAGGTCAGAAACTTCCTATGCTACGAAGCAACAGTGCTCAGCTCTGGTGTTCTGGCTGTGAAGGGGCTCTGGGTCTTTTCTTACAATAATCCAAAGTTTGCCAGTGTTTCACTTTGTAAAACTTACTTTGGGTGGCTTCAGGGTTATCCCTACAATAGCATCGCTCAGCACACATTCCCTTGCATTCTACCATGCTTTTTTGGGTAGGAAAGATGGATGGCTCACGGATAGTGTGCCTGGGACTGGGCATGCATGAGGGAGCAGGGTGTGCATGTGAATGCTGTGTGTTCTGTGTGTTGTGATGGGGGAAAGGGTGGGGAGTCGCTGCTATCAAATACATACCCAGGATTGCTCAGCCTGCCTGCCACTGGAACAACTGTGTCAAACTGGGTCTTCGAACAAGCCGTGGCCTATGAAGCTGCATCGTCAGAGACCTGGGCTTGGGTGGTAGGAGGAATGGGTGCTGGCCTTTCAATTCTGAATTTGACTCCAGCCCCACAGCCTCAGCCACCCCAGCCAATTGTCATGGGAACCGGATTGGAAGAGTGGAAGAAGCCTCTTGCCCAAGTGGAGAAGACCGGACAGTCCTCTCACGGCTCCCCACTAGGGATTTTCATGGCAGAAAATGAGAGTCTTGAGGTCTTGGCCACCCCCTTGGCTTCTGAGTGGCTCTGAAAACCCTTATTTCGGCTTGAAGGGGTGAGAAAAGGGAGGGAGAGGTTTGGTTGCATGCCACTTTCAGCCTCTGCTCTAATAGCTCTCAAGGTTGTAGACTTTAATGCTGAAGATTGCTGTGTTGTTCAAGTCAAATGTTGTTCTTTGAATGGTTCAAACCATGGTCAGGGACCCAGGGAATAGGCCCAGTTACTTGACTCAGCTTAGTCGGTTGGCCGCCTGTGAAGTCTTTGGTTTTCCCACACATTTGGGCCCAGTGAGAGCACATGGGTGACCAGTAAGGTCACAGGGAGACCCCTAGGCCAAGCCTGTCCCTCCTCCTGAGGCAGCAGTACCATTTCCATTGTTTGCACATCCTTTTGTGCAAATCACCACCAAGGGTTGACTTGAGAGTGAATCAGACAATGCTTTTGCTCAGTCACCTGTAGGAGCCTGGAATGGAGGCAGCATAACCAGCAGCATGACTGGGGAGGAGGAAACCATGCCCACTCAGGATGTATCAGATGAGGAATAAAAGCTCCTGACAGCCTATTTCACTGGCTAAGGGGAATGGTCATCTAACCTCCCTATTATAACAGGGGTAGCGGAACCAGAATAGAATAATTCATGCCAATTGGATCATCAACCACCTTAAAATATACCAAGAGGAACTTAAGGTGCACACAAGGCTGTAAAGACAGTGAATCTGGGAACAGACTCCCAAGAGGGGGCTTGGGACTGTCTTTTTTTTCAGTTTTATTTTTTATTGAAATGTAGTTGATTTGTTGATTTACAGTGTTAGTTTCAGGTGTAGAGCAAAGTGGTTCAGTTTTTATATATATATATATATATATATATATATATATATATATATATATATATATATTCAGATTCTTTTCCATTATAGCTTATTACAAGGAATTGAATATAGTTCCTTGTGATATACAATAGGTCCTTGCTGTCTATTTTATATACAGTAGTGTGCATCTGTTTGTCCCAAACTCCTAATTTACCCTTCCCTCCACTGCCTGGGACTACATCTTGTTGGAGTTTTTTGAGACTGGGGCATCAAAGGTAAGAAAAAGTCAGACACAGTCCCCTTAGGAACCTGGCCGTGTTTCAGCAGCAGCGCACTGTCTTGCATCTGCCAGTCTCCTCCCTGGGCCCACACAGACAAATTGTCACCCTCATGGGCGGGGTTGGTTGGAGGGTTTGCCTTCTCCCTGCTTTGCTGGACTCTATTCTGGCTGTCAGAGCCATCAGTCTCTCAAAAGCAGCAGAAAGAGGGCAAGGGCTGGCCCCGTGATTTCCTGCCCTTCAGGGTTAGCTGGCTTCCAGCAGACGTCATTTAGCCGTGAGGCTGCCCTGGGTGGCTGGGAGAGGCTGGCACCTGCATCGCAGTGTCCTTGCTGCTCCCTGGGAAGACTGGCGCACAGGAATCAGGGACCTGGGCACCTCGGTTAACTTTTCTGTGCACCGGTTTTCCAAATCACGAATGAGCTTTATAATAACTGCCTTGTAAGGCTGTTATAGAATCAAATGGAATCTGCTTGGGAGCACTTGGAAATGATATCCTTGCATATACTTATCAGAACAGACTTTGATGCCAGTTGCAAAGGAGTGTGCTGTGGGAGGTCTCGGGAGCTCTCTGAAGCTGCCTTCGTGGGGGCTGTGTGTTTTAGAGCAGGGAGGGATAAAATGACAGCAGTTTAAGGAAGAGGGGAAGCAAGTGACCCTGTCATTCTAACTAACAATGTCTTTTGCAGCTAAAAATAACAGACCCAAGGGAGTACTGACTTTTTTTTAATGCCTTTATTCTCTTCTTGGGTTTTTTTTTTTTGTCTCTTGAGCCTAGAGAGTTACTTCCCACTTCACATGCCCTCCTATATCACTTTCAGCTAAGATGCCAGAATGCTTGAGAATGATACACGCCTGGCTCTCTTTCTCACCTCCTCCCTTGGTCTAGCCCTCTGCCATCACTGCTCCTTCGCTCTTTATGTTGTGTGACCGAAGCTTTGGAGTCTCTGCATGAGGGGCAACGTTTTCCCAGAAAGTTTGGGGGTGGTTTTGAGGCTCCTGACATGTCTTGGGTCCCTGAGGTGCAATGAATTGTGCCCAGGTGACTCCCCAGTAAAGCCAGCTGGCAGAGGTCAGAGATGCCCCAGCCCTTAGGCAAGGTTTTCAGGAATTCATTGCTCCTCCCACCCTGCTCCCTGTGTTGCATGCCTAATGACCCTCTTGATCATTCCCCTACTAGGACTGCTGAAACATTTCCCACCTCCACCCCTTTCCCACCTTCCATATCCATATCCATAACCTCTTTCCTTCTTTCCTCTGTTTTCAGGGACCATCTGATTTCTGATTTCAGGGACCGTCAGCAGAGTGGGAAGGGGGTGGGGGGACACCTGAGATGATCACAGAGAGCAGCTGAGGGAGGGTGAAGGAAGAGCCCCTTCAGTTGGATGGCCAAGCACCTTGGGGAGGTGGAGGTTAGCAGATGTCCTGGAGCTGAGCTCTCGATTAACTCCTGTGTTCTTCCATTTTGAAGAACATTCCTGGGTGCGGAGCTAGAGGAGAACGAAGAGGAAGGATTAGCTGTGAGATCAGTGTGCAGATTTGAACTGCCTCTTACGACCTGGCCTTGCATGGCCAGTTCACCCCTGGGTTTAGAGCTCTTTCCTCATCTGCTGCCCAAACCCGCCAAAGTGGAGGGGCAGACCAGCAAGGGTGGGCTTTGAAGTCAGAGAAACTTAGATTCCACCCCTAGCTCTGCCTCTCTGGACCTCAGTTTCCTCTTCTATAAAATGAGGATAATGAGAATACCTACCTCATAGTGTTGTTGTAAAGATTCAACCTGATAATGCAACAAAGAGCACCTGGTTTGTGGTATACGGAACTGCTGCTAATAGCAACTGTAGCTCCTGATCGCTACTACCCACTCTGTGAAGCCGGCTTTGACTTCCCAGGAAATTAGCTGCACCTTCCTCTGTGTTCCTCCAGCCCTCAAGCCTCTGTTTATAGTCTGGCCCCTCCTGTATTATCATTGTTGCCGTGCCTCTCCCCTACCAGACAGGGCACTCGCCAGGGGCAGGCTCTGAGCTTTTTCAATGTTGTATTCTTCTTAATGCCTGGCACATAGTAGGAGCTCAGTAAATATGTGTAGAATGGATGAGTGAGCAAGTGGGTCATATCTGAGATCAAGGCCTGTTTCTCCAAGCAGGCTAAGAAAGCCTGCTCCAGTGGACTTTTGGCTCATCCATGTAAAACCCTTTGCGGTAAAGCCCCACCTGGGATCACCTGGCTTGTAAACACAGTATTTATTTCAGTGCTTCCACTTGGCCAGTGGTGACTCAGCACATAGAACCTGGCCAGGTCCCTGCGGAAGAGGGGCCGTGAGTGCTTCCCACGCCCCACGCTACCCACTCGGGGCAGCTGCCTCTTCTCTGCCGCACGAAGCCGGCCTCATCGGCCGGGCCCTGCTCCTCATCACCCTCTCCCCTGTGAGCACCAAGCTCAGACTCCCGTTTGTACTTTTCTTTCCTCTCCTACTCCCGTGGCTGTGCCACTACTGTTCAAGGAGTATTTATTAAGCACCAACTGTGCACAGGGCATCAGACCATACACTTGAGTCCTTAGGCATATTCTGTCTTAGGTGCTTTGGGGTATATGATTCAGTCTTCCCTCAACCCAGATTGTAAGCTCCCAGAGGGCAAGGGAGTGCATCTTCTGTTCCTTTTTTCCCTTACAGCACCTGAAATAGAGCCCAGCAAGTGATGGGCACATAGGTAAATCCTTAGGGACTTGACTTCTCGGCTCAAGAGTTCAATGCAAGCTCTTGCTCTGGGGAAGGATGAGAACCAGGAGTGTGCATCGCAGTCAGCAGCGTGGTCTCAGTATGTGCCTATTCTCAGGGCTCTCACACTCCAGGAAGAGGGGCACTGATCCCAGCCCCCTCGGTTCTCCTTTAGTCTCTGTGCACCTGGGAGAGAGACTGAATAGCTTGCTCATCTGGGTATCTGCTTATTATTCTGCGTATTTTCTGTCTTTGTTCCCTCTGCACTTGGCCGTGTCCTGTTACCTTCTACTGTGAATTTCTGAATGGCAGAAGCTTGGACTAGGCCTCGTCTCCCCACACAGCTCGGGAGCCTAAGAAATGCCACTTGATGATGACAACAGCGAGGGATACCTCGGTGGGAGGACCAAGGCCCCGGCGATGAGCAGCAGTTGTACCGGGGGATGCTCAGCACCTTTCCCCTGGAGTTCTGAGCTTCTGTCTGCCTCCTGTTTCAGGCCCACCTGCCGTTTGCTGTCATTGGCAGCACAGAAGAACTGAAGATAGGCAACAAGATGATGAAGGCACGGCAGTATCCCTGGGGCACGGTGCAAGGTGAGTGAGTCTCCAGGAGACGGGCTGCGCTCAGGGATTCCCTTGATCTGTCTCTTTGACTGTCCCTAGCCACTATGTGACTGTGTGACCCTAACTTGTCCCTGATCTTTACTGATTCAGCTTGGGCCCTTTGACCACCTCATGGGGGTTGCCAGCCAGCAAACTCTGGCTCTGTACCTGGATTCTCTGCAGCTAGCAGGCTCTCTTTGTCTCCAATGGAGAAAGCATTCTTAAGACAAAAACAAATGTAGTCATAGGAAAGTAGGAAAGAGTGTGCAAGAAAGCATGTGTACCCACCAGAGTGTACCCGGAGATGTATAAGAATGTCCACAGCAGTGTTGTTCATAATAGCAAATACTTAGAAACAACCCAGATCTCCATTAGTGATAGATTAGATGAATTGCAGAATGTTCATATAATGGGATATTATACAGTAGCGAAAATGAATGGACTATGGTTACATCTACAGGAATGCATCTCAGAAACACAACATTGAGCTAAGTAAATCATAGAATACAGGCTGTATGAATCCATTATATGAATTCTAAAAGTTGACAAGACTAAACAAGATATATACCTTGAGGAATTCATGCATAAGTGGTAAAACTATAAAGAAAAACAAAGGAAGGCTCACCTCCAAAGTCTGGAGAGTGGTTAAGTCTTGTTGCAGGGACGGAGAGGTGTGCAATCAGGAAGGGACACAAAGGGACTTCTAGGGCACTTGGTGATGTTTCACCTGGGCCGTGGATACACTGCTATTCATTTAAAAAATTCATTAGATCACACCTTTCAAGCACTCTTTTATATGTATGATTATTTTGCGATTTAAGAACAGACGTATTGTCTACAGGCTCAAGAAAGTTCCTTTTGTGATCTGCCTGACACGTGTTAAGTAAGTTACCCTTGGTAGTAGTCAGTTCAGTGGATAAACCCAGGCCCAAGACATTGCCATGAGTAGAAGAGGGGTCTGGTTCTCTGAGTCTCCAGCTATATGCTGGGTGGCAGATGGCAGGGGCATTGTGTGTGAGAGGGTGGCTGGTTCCCCGCCAACTCATCCCTGCCACTGAGCAAACACCCAAAAGCAGGTGGGAGGTTGTCCATGTCGCATCAAAGGCTGACATGTTCTAGGACACACCAGAGACACTCTGTTAGTAGCTGGCTTTTCCACTGGGATGACAGCACTGGTTATCAGAGCTGTGCTAGATTTTCATCTTCTCTACCATTTGGGGCCAGGGATGCTCCTCTAGGAACATTTGTAGATGGTTTCTGGACCAACAGTCTCACCCTGGGAATGAATTTGTAGTCTGAGAGACGGGAAGTTGAGGTGAAATGAGGAGACGCTAGCAGACGTGGTCCCAGTGACTCCCCCTGTTCAGACCACCTGAGCTGAACCAACAAAGGGGCTTTTGAAAGTGTTTCTTGTAAGTCTGAGTTCACCGTTCTGTTTGAGTGAGAGAAGCTGTCCACTGTCTGGTCCTTGCAGGGGCCTTGGAGTCACTTCTTCTGACTGGTTGCCAAGGAGCACTCTCCTGAGATGGAGGAGGAGATGGTCCTGGGAAGCTGCCTGCTGATACACTGATCTGTTCTGTGACAGCATATCAGTGAGGGCCTATTCTGTCCTGATCACCAATGCTGCTGTCAGGCTATTATCCACCCTCTAAAAACACCTCCATTGAAGCTTCTGCCATCTAGATGGGCCATGCCTGTGCTCCACACCCCTCCTTGTCCCTGTCCTATTGATGTCCTCATTCTTCCCCCTTGTTCTTTGGACTTTGGCACCTGGTCATAGCCTTGGCCTCTCCTTTAGATGACCTGGATTGGAATCCTAACTGCAACTTTTTAGCTATGGAAACTTGCCTAACCTCATCGAAGCCTTGCAAGGAGTCCCTTATCTGCCTGATGAATTCTTAGTCTTCCTTAAAGAGTCATCTTAGGGGTCTGTCGCCTTTTTGGTGAAGTCTTCACTCGCCCCAGAGTTCTCAGGCCCCCCTCTGCTAGGCTTTTGTTGCACCTTGGCTGTATACCTCCATGTTGGTAACCTTTGCTTTGTATTCTATTCGTCTATTTGTGTCTATTCTTCCACTAAATGGAAGCCCTATGAGCAAGACTTCGTAACTTTGTTTCTGAATTCCCAGTGCCTCATACAATCCTGCAGAGATTCTGCAAGTATTTCTTGGATGGATGGCTAAATGTGCATTTGCCATCGTCCTGAAAGTGGTTCAGAGCAAAGCAAGCTCTCCTATGAGTGTCAGATCGGTGGATTTGGGTTGAGGTGCTACTGAGTGTCTTCTTAGATATTTTTAGGGCACTACAGTTTCCCATTACTGTCATTCTTGGCACTTTTCATTTGTCTTTTTAGTAGAAAAGCCAATTAAGAGGCAAAATTGCGAGCTCTGTATACAAAGATCAAAAGTCAAGGTTGCTGTTAGACATTTCACCTCTCGTTTCATCCATTTCTGCTTCTTCTGGCCTTCCTTTCAATGTACTTTCCATACCCCAACCCTGGCCATGCAGTTGAAAACGAAGCGCACTGCGACTTTGTGAAGCTGCGAGAGATGCTGATCCGGGTCAACATGGAGGATCTCCGGGAGCAGACCCACAGCCGCCACTATGAGCTGTACCGCCGCTGTAAGCTGGAGGAGATGGGCTTCAAGGACACCGACCCCGATAGCAAGCCCTTCAGGTACCTCTCCCGCCAGCCCAGCCCAGCCCAGCCCAGCCCAGCTCAGCCCACCCAGGGGGTGTGGACGCCTCGCCCTGCAGAATTCACAGGGGAAGCGAGACAAGGGTGCCCAGACCCAGAGCTGTGGGGCTAAGTCACTTGCCAGTTCCGCTTGCCTGTACTTTCTCAGCCTTGGCACACCTGCCAGGGGAGCTGTGGCAGGGCGGGCTTCGTAAGCACTGCTGCCCTGCTTCTAAGAGCAGGGCCAGGGAGGGGGCCAGGGGACCAGCAGAGCCGATGGTCTCGCTGCCGCAAGTAGATGTGTGGCAGCTGCCAGCCCTGAGCCTGGGCCTTCTTCCTCCACGTGCCAGTTTGTGCCTGGCCTCTGCCCCACTTTCTTCATCAGGCTCCGGCTGCTCTGTTGGGTTTCCAGTCTGTTCTTTACCTCCCTCCTCCCCAATATCAAAATCAGATGGGACCAGACAACAGTCATTGCAAATGTGTCAAACCTCGGGCTCTTCATTTGCTGTTGTTAGTATTTGCGTTCAAGTGTGAGTTTTGTTTTGACCACAGGATGTTACTAATCATTAACATTTCAAATCAGAATCTAAGATGCTTTCAGAGAAGAGGAATGTTTTTGAAAGTATTGCTTCAAATGCTCTCAAGTAACCATGCTGATGGGAGTTATATGTTTAAGTATCCGATCTCTATGCATGATGTGTGACATAAGCCCTACCTTGTAAATGATGGTGTGGTGCCCTTCGTTGGAGCTCACATCTCCTTTTAGGAAATGTCAGGCCTTGGTAAGTGAGTGAGGGGGATGCTTGTGGGCTAAGAAGGCCTTCAAATGGCCTCTGAGATCCCAGAGGACTTGCTCACAGCAGAAAGCCAGCCTGGGGCAAAGCATAGCCAGTCCTTTGGGGATACCTGGTTCTGGAGGGGTGGGCTCACTCCCGTTCATGGACAGGGGCTGCTGGAGCCCCTGGGGTTGGAGGAAAACGTGCTTGTCTCTCTGGTGTGTGTTCCCTTAGCTTTCTGGCTCCCTCCCCTCTGAGAGCTTTAATCTGCATCTGCAGGGGGTAAGAGGTGTCATCTAGTCCCCTCCCCTCTTTGACTGCATCCTGACTACCTCTGTTTCCCACATTCTCGCCCTCTGCACACTTTCTCTGCTGGCTCCTTTCCATGTTGCAGGCAGATATCCTCATCCTAAATAAACTCCCTCACCCTGCTCCTTGTCACCAGTCTTCACCCTGTCAAGGAGTTTGGCTCCTATGGGAAGGAGAAAGAATTGTTCTATAATTACTTGGCTTCTGCCCCCACCATGTTGCTGAATGGAGATGCCTCTCTTCAAGGTCAGCAGCCACATACTCGTGGCCAATTACACTGTGGCCTCTGAGTTCCATCTTTTTGGATCTCAGCGCAGTGTTCGATACCCCTCCCCACTGCCTCCTTCCTGAAACTCTCTCTGCCTTTGGCTTTTCTAGCACATATCTGGCTGGGTTTAGTCCTCTCTCACGTGCAACTCCTTCTGAGCCTTATTGCCCGGTTCATTTTGTTCAGTGTAGTCCTTTGCATGTTCTTTCCTAGGGCCCCTGCTCCTTTCATTCTCAATTCTTTTTGTAGCTGGTTGTTTCTACCCTCACAGCCCTAATTATCACCCAGAAATAGGTGACTCCCAAGCTAAAATCTTACTTTTGAGCTCCAAATCCAGTGATCCCCCTGCTTACTGGAAATTTTCACTTGGACGTCTCATAGAGGATGTACCTAAAACTCAAGTTGTCTAAAATTTAATTCATCTCTTCCCCTCTTAAACATACTCCTCCAGTGTTCCCTGCCACAGTACATGGTGCCACCATCCACCTGGTTGCCCAGGTAAAAAACCAAAATCATCTTTGACTCCTTCCAAGTCTTGGGAGTTCTGCTTCCCTTACTGTTCTCCTGTTCACCCACCCCCTACCACCCCTTAACATTCAGAGCTCATCATTTCTTACTTGGATCATTAGAAAGTCCGTCCTTCACACAACACCCAGAATGGTCTTTCCCATTTTCAAATTAGATTAAGTCAGCCCTGCGTAAAACCCTGCTGTGGATAAACATCCACATCTTAACAAGGCATCCAGCACCTGCTCTCTCCTGCCTACTCAGGAGCCTCATCTCCCACCACTGCAGCCCTGTGGGACCCGGTTGACTGCCCAGGTGTGCCATTCCTTCTCCACATATGCCTTTTCACAGGCTGCCCTCTGTGGAGCACACAGCCTCTTCTTCTTTACCAGGCTAATTCCTATTTCTTGAAGACTAAGTCCAGGCCAGGGGCAGGGAGACTTAGCCCAAGCATCTTGAACTAGACTGTGAATTCTTTGATGGCAGGCACAGTGGCTGTTGACTCTAGATGTTGACTCATGAGCATACTATCACTTAATCCTGTGTCCAGCAGATGGTCGAGTCTCAAGTGTTTGTTGAAATCATTCATTAATGTCAGTTTCAGAGCCAGGACCTGGTAGCATAGGGCAAGTGGAAGGACCTAGATTATGAAACAAGAGAGCCAACTTCCTGTCCCAGCTCTGCCTCTAATAGCTGTGTGATCTTGAGCAAGTCACTTCACTTCTCTGGGCCTGTTTCCTTCTCTGTAAAATCAGGGTATAAAAGCAAATATTCTAAGTCACTCCTAATTCCAAATCTCTCCGGTTCACCAGGGCTGTCCCATCCCCCCTGGCACTCTGTGACCCTGCTGTCACGTGCCAAGCCAGGTGCCCGCAGCTTTGTGGTCCTGCTTCTGCACCTCTCTCAGAATTGAGGAAGGGAGGATGGGGGCACCTGGGAAGGATCAATGGGGCCAGTTTTCATCAAATAGGAGCCATTCTAAAGGCAGGGGGAATTAACCTGACCATGTTCTCAGTTTACAGGAGACATATGAGGCCAAAAGGAATGAGTTCCTAGGGGAGCTGCAGAAAAAAGAAGAAGAGATGAGACAGATGTTTGTCCAGAGAGTCAAAGAAAAAGAAGCTGAACTTAAAGAGGCAGAGAAAGAGGTAAATGTGAGCCTGCTTGCCAGGTGGGAAGGAAAAGGAGGCTGAACTTGGGCAAGACAGAAGTTTCTGCCCCAAGAGAGCAGCCCAGGGAGTCTTGCAGCCTCTGGGCAGGAATGGGGCACGGCCTCTGCAGCCCTGCCTTGGCTGGCGTGGAGACGGCTGTGAGATCTGTGTCTTCTCAATCCCTCATTCCCCAAGGCTTGGATATTTTCTCATTCTCTGTTATTTAATTCTCTAGAACCACACTGTCCCATATGGTAGCTGCTAGCCCACATGGCTATTTAAATTTAAATGAACTAAAATCAAATAAAATTTAAATCTCAGTTTATCCATTGCATTAGCCACATTTCAAATGCTCAATCCTCATGTAACTAGTGGCTCTCAGATACTGAACATTTCCAGCCTCGCAGAAAGTTCTGTTGGGTGGCGCCGCTCAAGAGTCAGGATCTGACATGGCCCCTTAAGGCCAGGTGCGGGCTAATTTTCTCCCCTTCCTGGGAGTTTGGAGCTCATTAGGGACAGTTGGTCACTTTCTTGGCTGTCCTGCCCCATCCTACCTGCTCTGACGGCCATGGGGAAAGGTGGTCCTGGGGAGTCCTGGGTACCTTGCTGAATCTGAAACCAGTGACAACTGGAGCACTTCCCCATCCACTTGGACATTCTGTTCCATTTCATGCTGGTGTTAGAGAAACATCTGTGCGGCTCTAGTGAGTTTTTAAGCTAAGGCTTGATGGTCTATCTGGGGATTTCATTACTTAAGCCGTGACTAATAGAGTGCAGTTAGTCCTGTAACCATCGCCTTGCCTCCAAGGCCCCGCTACCGATTCCCCAACTGCTGCCAGATTAACTGGCTTCAGCCACAGTTTTGGTCATGTCAGCAACTGCTTCAGCTCTCTGGGCCTCAAAAGCCATAAAGAAAGGAAGCACTTAATTACTTCCCAAGTCTCTTCCTCTTTTAATCTGCTGTGACGCTCTGGGGTTATTGCCAAAGCCTGTGTGTGGCAAGAGTATTGACTTCACTTCAGTTTCACTTTTCAAAAGAAAAATGTCACCCAGTACTTTTAGGAAGAGAGGTGAGGGATCTAAAAGACAGATAAATGAAGGAAAGGCCAGTGAACAAAAGCCACGTGAAAGCAACTGATCAGCAGAGCTTCACCAGCACCCGAGCCCATGTGACCAGTGAAAGCTGATTTACTCAGCAAGTCTGTCACCTACCACTCCTTACTCCGTAACAGTTCCGGATGACCTGCAGGGCACCCAGCCTCCTTCACGGGGTGCCGTGAGTGCTGCAGAGCCCTCAGTTCTCTCCCGAATCCCCCAAAGAAAGAGAAATGATGCTTGATTGGCTCTCACTCTTCAGGGCAGTTTATCACATTCTAGTTTGTTACCACCTACCTGCTGGCTGCCTGATCCACTTAACACAGTGGCATGCTGGAATATTCTTGCTCTTTTCCTTTGGGTCTGTGGCTCTGTTTGGGGCTAGTTAAGTCTCCCTTTGCTCAAAGCTGAGGTTTCTGTGCTCATTCCATTTTCTAAAATTCTTTTATCTCCTTCCGTGTCCAAGGACAAGTGTTTTCTTTGACTGGCTTCGGAATTGCAGGAGTTTTCTCTGCAATCCCCGACGAGCCTCTGTGATTGGAGCCCCTTTTATATGGAGAGATCTCATTATATAATCGTCTAAAGAAGGGCTTGATCTTGGGTGAATTCCTTAAACTTCTCCTACCTTCTGTTTCCTAATAAAAGGCAGATAATAACAGAACCTACCTCAGAGGGTTGTTGTGATGATTAAATGAGTTAATACATATAAAGTGCTTATAAAAGCCAGTGCCTGGCCTATAATAAGCACTCAATAAATGTTCTATATTATAATTGATGTTATTATTAACCATATGTAGTAACTGTGGGGACTCTTTTAAATAAAATGCTTGATTAAGCAGAATGCACAGTTCCTTGACCGTATTCAGGAGCAGAACTGTGGAGGAAAAATGGCAGGAGGAGAGAACTCTCCAGAACATGGTGCCCTTTGCTGCCATCATAGCCATCCCTGGCTGAAATGTCTCCTCAGGTCCCAGGGTCCTGCAGGGTCGTAAGCTTGCCCATCCCCACCCCACCCCTGGGATTGGCTCCACTGGGCTCTGCTCCTGGGGCGGGGGATCTCTCCCCAAACTTCCTGTGTTTCCCTGCCAGCTGCATGAGAAGTTCGACCGTCTGAAGAAACTTCACCAGGATGAGAAGAAGAAGCTGGAGGATAAGAAGAAATCCCTGGATGATGAAGTTAACGCTTTCAAACAGAGAAAGACAGCAGCTGAGCTGCTCCAGTCCCAGGGCTCCCAGGCTGGAGGCTCACAGACTCTGAAAAGAGACAAAGAGAAGAAAAAGTAAGTGGTAGGGTGCTCTGGGGCTAGGGCTTTTTTCTTCTCCTGCTCATCCCTTCAGGGTGGTGACCAGAGGCCAACTGTGGCCTGATAGGCTCTTTAGGCCCCTGTGACTGGTCTCAGTGTCCCCACGGGACCTGTGGATCCCCTGAGTTGGGGGAGCTGAGAGCAGGGAAGGGCTGTGGCCCCAGAGGCCCAGCCCCTCTGCTCGCCCTCTCACTTGGGTAGGAGGAGAGGGAGGGAAAGGGGAGGAAAAGCAAAAGGAGTGTGAGAGAGTAGAAGGAAGAAGGGAGGGAACGAAAGGCTGCAAAGTTATCAAGAAGAGATGAACAAAAAGAAGGGCAGAGAGAGGGTAGCAGGAGAGAGCCTTAGCAGAAGCCTCCAGGCACCCTCTTTCTCCCTGGGAGGTTGGAGCTTGCCAGCCTCATCCTCCTCTGTTCTCACAGCTGAGAGAGCCTAACCCTGCTGCTGAAGGCTGCAGCGTGGTCCTGATTTCTCGTCCCTTCGCGGTCCCTCCCTCTTGGCTGCTTAGTTGTTCCCAGCCTGGGGAAGCGCAAACTTGGCAGGGGGCCCTTGGAGGCTCATGTCCTCCGTGTACCCCATCCTCAAGCTGGAGAATGACTGAACAATCCATCTGTCTCCCCTGGTGTTGGGGGAGGTAGGATATAGCACACGCTCCTGGTTACCATGTGGGTCAGTCACCCTGACCCAACCCCAGGCCTTGCTTGCTGAAGTTATCCATTCTTCACCCCAGAACCAGAGGCAAGAAAAGCATTTCTGACGGGACCTGTACAATGCCCGGAAAACCACCAGTGGTCCCTGGCGCTCTAGTTGTTTGTGCGGTGTGACTGGAGGAGCCCTCGTTTGGAGGGTTAGACAATGTCCTTACTAAAGTGGCCTGAGGATCTGAACAATGTCCATGGTCATTGCCTTCTGTTCTTAGCCACTGGTTGCTGGACTCAACTAGGGGATATTTGCCGGAAAGAGGAAACATCTTCCTTTCCTCTGTGCCCAGCTTACCACTTAGGAAGAAAACAGTACAACATTTCAACAACAGTAAAATACATTAGTCAAAGATTTTATATTTGAAGGCACCCGGTTTTGCCATCTGATTATTCTTTTTTCAAAAGTGTAATTTGAACATTTTCACCAATTAGTCCAGAGATCTTTGTTACTGAATCCTAACAATCTATGTCAAAGTCACTGACTAATTAACTTTTTTTGATATTACCTGATAGGCAAAGTTCACCTAGTGAGAAAAAAAGCCTCCTTGGACACACTGTATATTAAATGATCTGTCATGGTGTGTTAGTTGCACCAGCAGGAATGGATTCCTATATTTAAGTTCAGAAAAGTCTAAATTTGTCTTCCGACTCTAACCTGCTACTTTCATAGTCCTGTGGTGTTTGTTAAGTCGACCCCTGGGGCAGTCTCACAGCCTGCTGGCAGGAATTAGGAGATTCATTTGTTTGGACTCCACTGATGCTAAACTATAAATAGTCCCTATTGAGATGTTCAGTGGAAGTTCCTCTCAGATCAGGCTTTCTCCTAGTTGCCCTCAATTAACTGACCCCCACCTCCACCCCAGGCAGAAGACCTTATCTAGGGAGACATGTCCCTTCAGTCTCCAGGAATGTTTGGAGTTGGTGGTGGCACCCTTTCCCAATTTTGAGATAGGCGAACACCTCCCTGGCACGTGGCACCTCATATTAACAAGAGAGCCTAACAAAACAGCCTGTCCTCTTCCATACTTCCAGGTGTATAAATGGCCCCAGGCCTGGGCTTTTTGTATAATTCCCTGAACAGTTGGATAACCTCTGGAAGACCTATCACTAGACCTGTTTCACTCTGTTCCCCGTGGTGATGATGTGGATGGTGGGGAGAGGAGTTGAGGGTAGAAGTGGTGGGTGGTAGTAGCATTTCTTCTTGAGAGATGGTGGTTTGATCTAATAGAATCACATATGGAGGATTTCCTTTGGCTGCTCTTAAAGAGGTTAAGAAAGAGCACCAGTGTTTCAGGGCTCCCTACCAGCCCCCTTCTTCCTTCACCTCCCCACTCCTCCTAATCTCCTTTGACCTTTAACTCTTCATTGTTTGTGTCAACTCATAATATTTGATTTCTCCCCAAGCTCACTCCATCTTCATCAGCTTTTACTGTTTTACAGTTAACTCTGCTGTTTGCTGCATGCTGCATGAGACCCAGGGTCCTGGTAAGCTTTATTAACTCTAAATAGAACTGGCAGTGGCTTCTAGAACACCTCTCCCCAAATCTCATCCCCTGCCCAACACATGTATCTAATAGAAAAGAAGCTACTTCATTGTCCTAGCTAGTTTTCTCTTGTGATTTATAAATATTCAGAAATAGTCTGGTGTGATTTCAAGTGTACCTGTGGAATGTTTGTCTTCCTGATTTAAAGTGAAGGTTTTTTTCAGACTTTTGCTGCCGAAACAGGTAGCATAGGTGGCCATTGTTTTTCCTTAAAGAGCCTTAATCATTACTCTCAAAATTAACTAAACTGTAGTGATGAGGGGAACTGTTGGGTTCACAAGCCCTGTCCTGCAATGTCACGGTCAGCCTTGACCCCCCTAGGTTTGGGACTGTTCCGAGCCAACGGAAACTTGCTTCTCTGTTTCCCTCTGGTGGCTGTTTCTTATCCGAGAGGTTTAAGTTCCCCAATTTCCTTTGGCTATGTAACTCCCCAAAATCATAAGAAAAGTGGAAGAAAATGAAGAGTTCTCAGATATTATAGAGAACTCCTTATATTTAATTCTACAAGTACCAGCTTCATGAATACCTTTGATAAGGAGATAAGCAGGTAACCTTTGGTAAGAGGGATTGCAAGGGCTAGGTGTTATGTCCACAGGAGTGAATAAAGTAGCCTGTGGCCTCACATAGTTTACAGGTTGATTATAGCAATGTTTAAGCACCTTCTGTCTATTCTTCTAGACACAGGTAGTGAGTGGGGAGGGAACATAAATATTTTTAATTGAACATAATTAGGCTTATTACCATTTTAAAACTTTACCATAGACACTTTCAAACAGGAATAAAAGAAGAGAGTGGTACCATGTAGCCCTGTGTACCCACAACCCCACCCCCAAACAACTGTCAACAGATGCGAATCCTCTTTCCAATGTTATCCCAAACTGTCTGGATTATTGTAAAGCAAAACCCACATCACTTCATCTGTAAATACTTCAGCATGTATTTCTAAGAGATGACTCTTTAAGAAAAAAAAAACCCATAACCACAATGCCACCATTATCACACCTCCAAAATTAACAATTCGTTCACATAAAATTTCTAGTCAGTGTTCAGAATACCCCGGTTGTCTCATAAATGCCTTTTACATTTGGTTTGTTTGGCTCAGGGAATATAAAATATTGAGAGGACTTCTCCCCACTCACCCATGGAGTTTATGATTTAAATGGAAAGCCTGCTGTTAGTCACCAAACTGATTGCTGCAGCTACTGCACTGGGAACTTTGGGCAGCTGGCAAAACATCCTACTTTCAAGCAAATCCCGAAGAGGAAGTCCATAGAGGCTTCTGAAACATAAGGCCCATGAAATTGGGCCAAAGGAAACAACCCTAAAACAACAATGACATGATTTATTGTCTGGCTTAAAGGCAAGTCTTGGAGCCCTGCTAGTTGACTTGAATGAAACAGCAGGTTTCCGTGGAAGAAGACTCTCGAGTTGGAGAGCGTCTGTCCACGGCTGCAGTCCCAGCGCCCAGCAAAGCGCCTGGCGCTTATTACTTCATGTGTATTTTCTTTGTTCTCCCATTTTCCATGAGGAGAACAGGAAAAATGCATCCTGGTCACTTAGATTTCAGTTCATAAAACCTGAATTAACGTGATTTGACACAATTTGGTTCAGCTTTCCCTGAGTAAATCATTGTTAATGGCCATTGCTAAAATTAATTCTGGCAAAACTATAATTAAAGCCATACTTTATGAGCGAGAGGCAATTGGCAAACAGCAAGAACAGCCAACTCCGACCCTAAGTAGATTGGCTTTTTCTGGCATGCTTCTCCCCAGCAGACCGCAAGAGCAGCTCCAAACCAAATAGGGAAGGGAGACCTTGGCTCCCTGGGGTCTGAAAGCAGCAAAGGTAGACTGTCCCTTCCCCAAAGCCCTCATTCTAGGGATGGGTCCCAAAGGCCACCCCTCATTAACTGGAGCACAGGCAGAAGGAGGTTTACTGTTCCTTGCTGGTTTTGAAATTGCTTAAGGCACTCCTGGCAGCTGTCTGCAACTGAAAGAAATTCTTCCTCCGTGAAGATGTAGATGCTATAGCTCAGTGGTTACTGGTCCCTTGACCCTTGGAGGGGATGCCAAGTATATAGACAATATACACATATCGAAACACATCAGCCTTCCCACGAAGCCCAGAACACAGGCTGTCGCAGTGTTGTTGAGGTTTCTCTTCCCCTGGGGAGTAGACAAGGAGTGAAAATAGAGATGAGCATTTGTATTACATTTTAACTCTATTCAATGTGATTTTCCATATGATATCTCATTTTCACATTACAACAATCCTGTGAGGTAGAGGAGGAGGGACTAATCTTCAGTTTACAAGATAGAATACATGGAGGAGTGGGGAATTTAAGAGACTTACCAAGGATCACACAGTGAGTTAGTGGCAGAACTGGAAAGAGAATGCAAAACGCCTAATTCCTGGTATAAATTGCCATTCACATAAGTGTGTGTGTGTGTGTGTGTGTGTGTGTGGATATATTCACTGTGAGGAAGTGACTGTACAAACATACTCAGTATACACTTTTAACTGTCCCTCCCCAATATTTAATAGCCTTTATTTAATGAGATAAATGTGTTCTTCAGGAAAAATAAAAACAAAAACAAAAACAAAAAAACTAGGGGTTGAGATCCAGAGGCAGGGAGTTCTCAGGGACACTGTGGTGTGAAGTAAAGGAGTCTTGATCAAGCAGCCAAGGGATTCAGGCTCTGCTGCTGGCTGTGACTCTGTGTGACCTCGGGCAAGTCACTTGGCTTTGCTGTTTCTTAGCCTCCTTATATGTCAAATGGGGATCCATACTACTTGCCCCATTTATGTCACATGGATGAATTTAAATGGGAGAAAGTTCAAAGTGCAGTGTGAACACAAAAAATAATGCATTTCCATAGCTCAGGTTGTTGGGTGACTGGTTGGACCTTCATGCAGAGCCCAGCCACCACCCCCAGACACTTCTCATGCAGATCTTGCCCCGGGGTACCAGTTAGCTGACTGGGACTCTCCGAAGGTGACCTAATGTGAAACCTGTACCTCCTCTGCTTTCCCTATGGGACAAGGCCATCACTGGCTGAAAGCCTGGTGCTCTGTCCCCTGGCCTGAAGCCACCTGGAGATTTGCTGAAGATATTCCTGTATACAGTGCCTGGGTGGGGCGTGCTGATCAGGACCCAGTAATTAAGAAGAGACAAAAAGTATTCTTGTGGCTGTTAATAATTATTTTGCTAGCTAATGCCACGGTGGTCACCACTCAAAGGTGTGTATGAGTGAATGAGAGCAAAGCATGTTCCCGGAAGCCGATGCAGTAAGACCTTAAGCCGATCTACAATAGCTATATTCTAATTGAGCCATTAGTCATCATGACAATTTTCTTCTAACCTTTTTATTTTTTGTACATTAATCCATCCATTCATTAACCCAACTTCTCTTTTCATTTTCAGTTTGGGCTTCCTGTAGACGCCCTTTTCCTGCGCAACAGAGCTGGGCCTCCCTTTCTCTAATTCCCCCTTAACACGTCTGGGGGGCACACACCCGTGCCCTCCCCTCTCTTCCTGCCAAGGTTTATAGAAGCCTGAGAGTCTGAGGACCGTGTCTGGCCTCTGGTCAAGAAGCCAGCAGTCACGTGGCTTGGAGATGCATCCTGCATCCCAGTGCCTCTCCCAGCGCCCCCAGCTGGCCATTCCCCACCCCATCTTTGCCAGACTGTACCGTGTTTGGGGGTCCCAGCTGTTCCTCTCCACCACCAGCTTCCCTTTTCCAACTGCTGCTTGTTTCCCCAAGGTATTTGCATCCACCATGGCTGGGTGAGCTCTGGTCAGTACCCCAGTCACTGAGCTTCCCCAACCATTCCTTAGCCCCCAGTAGGAGCCACAGCCCCTTCTCGGAAGGCTCCAAAAGGAGATCTTTTGGCATCTTTTCCTTTGGGCCTGTCACTTCAGCCTTTCCAGTTTGATTCAATCAAAGTAACTGCACTCAAGCTGTGTTAAAAATCCAGAACAAGTTTATACTTATACCCAGCCCTTCCCCGACAACACAACTGCTGAAGAAAGTAGCATAAATTTTCCCTCTCTATAATTCTGGGTACCCCACAGGTGCAGAAGGGAGAATAAACCTGAATATTATTACCAGCCTAGTGTCTTACGGAATTGTTCTGAGGTGTCTCAGCATCTCCTCTGTAATTTCCCTTAGGATGCCACACCATCCCAACAAGGCAGAGCCAGTGGCAGGTATCATCCGATGTTGTCAGCTGCCAAACTGAGCAGTCAAAGAATCAGTGTTTTCAGTTTTGCTATGATGAGTCCTCCAAACTATTTGGTGAATGTGATGACTTTCAATCGGTATTTTGCACACGTCCCCCAGTAAGAAGAGGTGAGGCTACCAGCTGGACAGGAGAAAAGAAGTGGTCCCTAATTTTATCTCCAGTTTTGATTGGATATTAAAAAATCTTTGAGCCCTAATTTTTTATAATGGGGCCCATCTGATAGCGGCTTTGGGAATTCCTTTGAAGTAGAGAGCCCTCCATTGTCAGGGCCACGAGGCGGTGTCAGTGGCCTTTGATGTTTGGCCAGGGAGAGAGTGAGAGCTGGAGGTGACCTGGCGATGATCTGTGGCTAACACGCCGTTTCTCTACCCTTCCTTTGCAGTAATCCATGGCTGTGTACTGAATAGTATTCCCTGCTACAGCTGGACTGGACTCCATTTAACCTTTTAAGCCAAGGTTCCCATTGTAACTGACAGCTTTCCTTTGAGGTGCCAGGTAGCTGGGCCCCCTGCTTCTGCCATGTACCTCCACTTCAAGCCCCACCTCTTCTTTTGAGTTCTGCCTCAGTCCCACCGGCACCTGACCATGACAACCTTTTTTATTTTCATTTTTTGGAGGGTTTTTTTTTGTCACTTTCTTTCAAAACACAGTCAAGTAAGGCTATGCTACATTTTCAGGTCTTTTTGAAGTGTTGAGACTGGGGAGAGAGTGTTCTTTCTTCAATTACAGATAAGAACAGGGATTGAAAAGTAGAAAAAATGAAAAGCAGAGGAATACACACACTTTCTCTTGTTGGCAAAGCAGGAGTACAGTTTGGATACGGATTGTTTGGTGAGTCACTGATTGGTGGGTGGCCAGAAGCAATAGGAAAGTGATGCTGCCAACGCCCACGCTAGTTTCTTGAGAAAATCCAAGTCGCACAGTGGAGTATTTTCAGAGACCCTATGCTTGGTGATTTAAGAAACAAAGAAGTTTGTATGCTTAGCCGGTACCTCTGGGAGATGCTAAGTTAGGGCTGTCAGGTCTCCTAGGGAAAGGCTTCTTATTTACAGCTTTGATGTTTCTGTGACCAGTTTCACAGCTGCTTCCCAAGAATCCCAAACTTAAACAACCAACCTGGTCTCCGTCCTCGGGTTAATTATTTGCATTACAAATAGGAGGCCCCTCTCATTTGCATTTGTTTACAGATTAACTACTGGAGGCTTGAGGAGCTCTGAAAACTTCAAAAGGTATTAGAGCCACCAGCCTTTGAGAGACCTTCAGAGACTAGGCAAGAATTTTGTATGAAGGGAGATATTCTGGTCCGGAAGACAGATATGACCCACTATTTTTTTAAAGAGGAAATTGAGGGCCAGAGAAATGAAGGACTTGCCAGAGGTCCCAGCGCTGTTTTGTGGCAGAAGCAGGCTAACTTTAGTGTCTCCTGATTCCCAATCCACTTCAAAAATGGATTCAATCTGTTCATGGATGTTCCTGGAGATGAGTCTTTAGACGTTCAGGAGAAAACGAATAGTTACTATGAGAGGGCCTTTGAGGTTTCTTCTTCCCTATAGAAAAATATCCAGGCAAAGCAGAGGACTCAAGGCCAGCTCCCGAACCGAGTTCTTCCGCTGATGATAGAAGTCTCAGGGCACCATCCGTTAGCTGTTCAGCTTTCCTGGAAGTCTGGAATGGAGCCCAGGCTGTGTATGTTTAACAAGTGCTCTAGATGGTCCTTGTAATCAAGAAAGTTTGGTAAACAAAACCCTAACCTGTCCGTGAACATGAGACCTTTAGAAAGTCAACCAAAGCTATGAAAAGAATTTAAATGTTTATTTTATTGGGCAGCTTTTCTCACTATAGACAGAAAGGTTTTTTTCCTTCTTCAGTGAAAAGGCTTTTTACTTAGTACAATTGTTACCATTTTAAAAAGTACCCTAAGTACTCTGTTTACTTCTGGTGAAACAAAACCAGTTATTAGAAATGGTCTGTGTCCCGCCTGCCCAGACTGGAATGGAATGGCCTTCCTGAAAAATACCCCTGTGTATAGGCACACACACACACACCCCTCATTTCTCTTAAGCCAAGAAATTTGCTTTTCCTAGCTGCCTTATAGGTCGCTTTTGTTTTTGTTCATGTTTTTTGTTTTAATCATTTGACATTCACATGTGGCTGTTAATATGTGCTTTTTTTTTTTAATTAAAACAAGAAGCTTTCAACCGGTGTGTGGTGTTCTTAAAACCTTCTCAGCAGATTTCCCGGTGGTGATGGTCCATCGGTGACCCCATTCTATCCTGCCTTCCCCAAGTTTCATCTGTGCTACCTCACACTGCCCACTCCCCTCACCCTGTCTTACTTTGAATGTCCCTTTTCTTTGGCTAATTTCATGTTTTCTTTCTCTTTCTCTCTCCCTCTCCAGCTTTTTTTAATCTTGTCTTCAGCAGCTGCACTAAGTCTAAAGGAGAAGACTGCCATTATAGAAGAGTTAGGGTTCCATAGTGTTGCAAACCAGAAACCAACCAATTCCCTCTCTCCCCAAACTGCGCGCACACACACACCACACACTCAAGTGTTCATGTGTCCCTGTGTCCAGGCAAGAAGCTCTCTCCTGACTTACATGGTATTTTAAATGGAAGTGTCTTGTCCTAACTTAAGGCAGGAAAAGAACCATCAGAGCTGGAGAATGGACCAAATGTAACCTCAGAGAGACACCTACAGGATGACTCACCCAAGTGTAAGTGACTGGGGCAGGAAACCTCAGCTGTGGGTGTGCAAGTACTATTCACAAGTTTTCTGATTTTCTTTTTAAATGCCAATTCTCTGGTTCAATGAGTTGACTGTCTACGGCCATTATTAAGCATTTCTGAATATGGAAGAGAAAGTCAAGCGACATTCATATCTTCTTCAGCATTTGCAGACCTTCTGCAGACTCCAAGCAAGGGGGGAAAATGGACCTACTAACACTCAAATGGAGAAGGGAGAGACAGGAGGGAGTTTGAGATTAGTGAGAGCAAAATTACTCCATTCAAACTTCCAAGGCCAGTTGGGGTTTTGAGAGAGGTTTCTACTCACCCTGGGATCTGGAGGGAGAGCTTTGATGTTGATAAATCTGCCTTGAATTCATTGGTTTAACTTGCAACAAAATACCATGTGAGTGTGCTCATTCGCATATATCCCTACAACCATGGCCATTCCACTGTCCAGTGTCTCTTAAGAGAGCCTCTTTGCATGTTTTCCAGAACCTGTGTTTGTTTTTCCTTCTCCTTTGTTCTTTTTGCTCAAGGTGTGACCAATCACTGCCCCTCTGGGGCTTTCATTCACCAGGAGAAACATCCTGAAACCAGCACTGTTTAGCTTGATACCTTTCTAATGTCCATGTCAATTTTCAATAAAATTCAAAGAAATGCTCAACGGCTGTGTGATCTGAAGTCATTAGGTGATGCGCCCATCATTGTTGGCCTTAGGAGTGGGTGGCTGCCTTTCAAGGGGGTAACTTGATGGGCTCAGGGAGGCACCATTGGCTGGTTTGCAACCTTCCTGGGTGGGCTGCTCTGTCATTCCCTCCATCTGGACTTGCAAATCCCACGGGGTGAGGTGGGGCTGAGCAGGAAGTTCTTTAGTTTTCCTTTCGTAGTATAGATTTAACCCATCTGTCGAGCTCATTATCATCTAGGATGGTGATAGTGGAGTGCTAGACCCTACAGAACAAGATTCGGGTGAGTTTTAATTCCAGAAGGAAAAGAACTCTGCGCTGCATGTCTTCTCTTATTTAATACTATGATGTGAGCACCCTGAAAATTCATGGATATGACTGTCCTTTATGACTTGAAAAGCCTTTACTTTGTGTCCTGGGCCTACTAGGGAGGGAAGCCTCCTTGTCCCTCCTAGCATTAAAGTTGGTAAGACAGAGTGGTCGGTTTTCATAATTCTGGTCACAGTCGAGGTGGGGTTTCCTTTCCTCGGCTTCATTTCCCAGGTGGCCAGGTGCTGGCGATCCTCTGAAAAAGAGTACCGGGAAACGACACTGGCCTGCGTCTGCGCAGCTCGCACACTAGGGGGCAGCCGAGCGCGATAACGCTCGCCTGTGACGTCACCGAGCCGGGCGGGCACTGAGGTGTGGAGCGAGGTCGACTTGCTCGCTGTGTGTGCTGTGGGAGAAGTTGTGTTCAAAACCTCCCCGTAAAAGGAGAGTGGCAGTAACTCCCTTGCAGGGTGATTGCGAAGGTTCCATGAGCTAAAGATCTGGGTGTTCAGTAAACGGAATCCTTATTAAGGATGGCGTTTCCCCTTCTCTAGAATTATCTTAGGTTCTTCCAGTCCACTGTTTCGCAACCGCATCAGTGTTGTCATCTGAGGCCAGGTAATTCTCTGTTGTGGAGTCTGTCCTGTGCGTTGTAGCATGTTTAGCAGCATCCCTACCCACTAAATGTCAATAGCACACCACACCTCCCCATCCCCAGTTGCCACAACCAAAACCGTCACCAGACAATGCCAAAAGCCCCCTGGAGAGCAAAATCGCCCCAAGTTGAGAACCACTGCTCTAGGCCAAGGGTCAGCAAACTTTTCTCTAAATGGCCAGCTGGTAAATATTTCAGGCTTTGCAGGCTACATGGCCTATGCAACTATTCAACTGTTACTACAGCACAAAACCAGCCACTGATAATATATAAAAGAATGAGTGTGACTGTGCACTAAAACTTTACTTATGGACACTGAAATTTGCATTCACACGTGAGTTTCATTTTCTCATGTCCTGAATTATTATTATTTTGATTTTTTCCCCAACCATTAAAATGTAAAGACCACTCAGCATGAGGGTCATACAAACACAGGCAGAGGGACCAGATTTGGCCTGTGGGCCACCGTTTGCCAACTCCACCTCTAATGCATTTTGGTGCTTGTTGATGCATCATTGAGCCTAAAGGTATTAGAAGTGACCGGCTGGTCAAAAGAAATGAAGACAAATGGCTGATACTTTAATTCAAGTTAGTGGGGAGATGGGTTTGATTAAAATTTGCATATAGTTTTGCTAGAGCACAGATGGGGGCAGGGGTGTGCTGAGGAGCTGAGAGCCTGTTCCTGGGGTGGTCCTGAGCAGTGAGGTTGCTAACTGCCTCTAGGGAGAGAACCGAGCCTCTAATACCCTCAAAACGGCTGAGCAACTTGGACTCCAGTTGCAAGCACTGAGGTTAAGCAGCATCTTTTTGTGTCTGAAATGCTCTACTCTGGGAGAGTCAAGGTCATTCTTCTAAAATGGGGACACCCCTTGAAAGAGTTCTGCATTCGAACAGTAATGCCTCACAGTGGTTTTGCCACCCAGACCTACTACCTTCCATCAATGTCCAGCCAGGTCCTGCAATACCGCTTAGCTTCTTTGGCTTGGGCTTTAGAAGATCCCTGCCCCTCCGCTTAATACCCATAAAAATCATATGAATATTTATTATGTATAGGATTGGGGACAAACTCCTTGTCTTGGTTTGGGGCTTAATGAAATTATTTTCTTAATCAAATGGTAAGAGTGTATTGAACACCTCCCATGGGTTTGGCCAAGTGCCCTCTGCTACGTGGGGTACTTTGCATGAAATCAGTTAGACATTGCTCTTAAGGAGCTTACACACTGGCCCTATCTTATCTACTCAACCATATTTTCCAGTACTTCCTAATACCCAGTCTCCATTCCAGTCCATTCAGTCTCTGCATAGGCTTCTCCCTAAGTTACACAAACTAGTTGTTGACATTGTCTGAAATAGCCTCTACTGAGTTAAATTCTGCCTTCGAGGTTCAGGCCTACCTTCTCCTTGAGGCCTTTCTTGACCCCATCCACCTCTCCTGATCTCTTCTCCATTTTCGAACTTCTTGGCTGAAATTTTATAATCTTCTCTGCTTCTTGCTTAAGGGACATCACTCCTCCAAAGATATTAAGCTTCCTAAGGGTAGGAACATCATTTAGAGCCCTCCAGGGGGCCCAGGAAAGCACTGGACACACAATAAAAAGTGACTAAGTGGTAGCTAGATTGAGATTCTTTACCAATGTAGGGAGCTATTGTACTTTTGAGATATCTGATTTTGAAATTAAGTCACAAGAATAGTACAATGTATACCCACATGTTCTTGACCCAGACGTACCAATTAATATTTTACCCCTTTTCCTTTATCATTTATGCTCAAGCTCTCTCTCTTTCTCTCTCCCCCTGCCACCTCTCTGTATCTAAATAGATAGATAGATAGAGGTACATAATATTTTTTTTCTGAACCATTTGAAAGTAATTTACATGTTTCATGGCCCTTTACTCCTAAATATTCCAGTGAGTATTTCCTAACAATCAGGATATTCTCTTACATAGCCACAGCTACCAACTTCAGTAAATTTAACACTTTTACACAACTTTAATCTATCAAATAGTATACTCTATAGCAATTTTTTCTTGTCATGTAAGATTGGGTCTACAATCACCCACTGTGTCCTGTTTCTTTAGTCTCTTTTAATCTGAAACAGCTTTTTTTTTTGGTCTTTTATGACATTGATATTTTTGAAGTCCCATTTTTTTAAAAAAGTGTTCTCATTTTAACAGTGAGTTAAGGTATTGCCCAATATCTCTACTATATAATTGCTGTTTCCCTTCCTTTTTTGTTACTAATAAACAATCTGTGAGGAGAAACTATAAATCCATGCAAATATCCTATTCCTTATCAAAAAATTTCCCCCTAGATTTAGCATCTATTGGTAATTCTTGCCTGAAGCTATCTACAAAATGATGATTTTCCAACTCCATTATTCCCTTCAGATTTACCAATCAGCACATGGTATTCTATTGTAAGCAAAGGCTCTCCTTTCTCCTTCATTTTTAAAAATTTAAAATACAGTCAGTTATAATGTGTCAGTTTCTGGTGTACAGCACAATGTCCCAGTCATGCATATACATACATATATTCATTTTCATATTCTTTTTCATTAATCTCTCATCATTTTTTATCTACTTGATTTCACTGTGGACTTATGGCCTCCTATTTTTTCAATGGCTCATTATTGTCCTCAATAATTTTAGTGCTCAAATTACCAAGATTTGGCCAGCTCCTAGTTACTGCTTTTAATCCATTAGTAGCCATTCCTCAAGAGGATATTTTAGTGCAGACTACTCTAGTCAGGAACTTTTGGTGATCAAATTTCTGGGATAATTTATGAGGGTGGTGCTTAGCCAGGTTCCAGGTTTCCCTCCTC